TTTCTGGACCTATACTATTTACCAAAGGCTGTCACATTCTAGTTTTTCAGAATTTCATTTCATGGAAGACACTCCATTGAAACTGAAAAACTATCTAGACCAAATTATTTTTTTATGGGCGCTGGATCAGAAAACACCTACGAAAGCGCTCAGAATCAGAATCGCCGGCCAAATTTTACATTCTGTACTTCTGTACAGTACGCATTAGCTTGTGCCATTTTATTAAATGAAATTACACTTGTGACTTGATGTACTTAGATACTTTACACGTAATAACTCGTAAACCGTTCAAGTGACAATTATTGTTGCGCTGACTTGAATATAAATAGAGGATACATTTTCCGAGGTAATTTGGGCATTTACGTATCTGAACTTACATGCTCGTCTGATGTAGATCGATACCATTTTGCACTAAGGCGAAAGCCCAAATTAATTCAATTTCTACAGACTTGCTTTTTTCGCGACCCTGTGCCACTTTTTGTGAAACTTTCAATACCGCAAACAGAATCAATTAGCCACGTTTGATTCTGAGATACAGGGTGAAAACGAAAAAGTTTCACTTGTTGGGATGTTATCGTATCGTACTACCACTGCAAGATAGAAAAAACTGAAAAACTGCCTTTTTAGATATTTTTACGTAGAATCTTTATTATGTACCGATTTTCTTGAAAAAAAGACCTCATATCGACTTCGGGTTTTCGCTATATGAAAGCTTATGGGTTCCAAATGTGCAATAATCAAAAATTAACTTTGGAAACCAGCACTTTATTGCCCAAAATCGGCCTAAATCTTTATTTATGCATCAATTTTCTTGGGAAAAAGACCACATCCCATTGCTCGATGCCCAAGAAGTGTTACATGCGTATTTTTGCCGACCAAAATATTTTTTCCCAAAAGATGAGAAAATCGTTATTTACGCACAAATTTTGTTGAGAAAAAGACCAAATTCGATACCCAATCCATATTTGTGCAATGCGATATAAAAGAAAGCGACGGGCATATTTAATTACGTAAACGATAAACTCAGCTGAACTACATAGATAATTTATTCTTCAATAACTGCCCTAACTTGTTTATTAACATTACACTTCCTAACGGTACCTCCTATAAACAAAATTTGTGTAATATAATGAATATTTGTTTTGCGTCTAATAAACAAATACATTAGCACTTTAATGCGAGATCTCTCACACCGAAATTTGAAATGTAAATAAAACCACTTTAAAGTAGATTACACAAGTCTCACGTGAAATCCGTTCCCGACATTTCGGCGCTAAGCCTCCGGTGGGAGTGCTGTTTACTATGCGCGGATCAGTTTATCGGCCTAAAAATGGCACCTAATCTGGTTAGGTTCAATGATTCCTTAAATAAATACACATCGTTAAGTGCAGATTTTGATTGCGCATCTCCGACTCAGAAATTCGCAGTGCGAGAGAAATTGCGCGGCTTCTTGTATTATCAAGAGCGTGATAATGATATCTCTCTTGTTACCTACATTGATAAAGGTCGGCGGAAATGAAGGGAATAAATCCAATTAATCAACCAATTCGCCGCCGCTGGTGTGATAATGATATCAACGATAATTTGTAATCTGTAAGAAAAATTGGTTCGAGGGGTAGACCCCCCCATTTCGCTCACAGACCATTCAAAACTCCCCTAACACTGGAAGTCACAACCTAGGAAGGGAATCGTAAACTGAAAAAGATGTTTTGAGTTTTCTTTAATGTTTTTGAAAAAAGAATTTAATGTTGCCATTTTAAATTGAAATAAAATTAAATTATCTTTTCAAAAATATAACACAAAACATCCCATTAAGATTCAAAATTTTTTAAATTAAAAAACAATCAAAAATCTTTTTTTATTTTTTGTATTTTTTGCATTTGTAACAATTACAGGGGTTGGAATACCGTGGTCCGTACTAGAGAAACAATTCACACTACTTTTAAATGCGTCGAAACGGAAGTGTTTTGTATATTACAATGCGGCTTCAGCCAATTTACAAAGATCGATACCTTTAAGAAATTCTCTGATTACTTTCAACAAAATATTTTTACGCAACCGATCGTTTATTTTTACACAAATCAAGAAAAATTACAGTACCTTACATATATCGCTCTGGACACGATGGTTTTCCTACAGTACAAGGTCTCCTTCGCAATGGATAATATAGAATGGAAATTGGATCTCTTGAAGTACTACTGCCGGGCTTTTTTCTGAATTCTCTTTACAGGGTTGGCAAAACGAAAAAACCATTTAAAAAACCCACAGGGTTTTTGTGTCAAAAACCCACCCAACGACTTATACAAAACCCCATACAAAAGCCCTAAGAATTTGAGACACAAAATCGAGATAATTTTTATATAGTATTTAACAACAAAATATAATGTAGTATCCTTGGAAACAGACAGGTACTGATAGATCAGTGTTACATTCTTATTCCTAAGTTTCAAGAACATTTTACATTAAAATATAAAATACGAAACGGCTTTTTCATTAGAAACAAAAACAACATAGAATATATTTCACTTGGAAACAGACAGGTACTGATAGATCAGTCTTTATATTCTTATTCCTAGTTTCAAAAAAAATTTACATTAAAATAAAAAATACAAAACGGCTTATCCATTAGGAACAAAATAAAATAAAAATAATAATTAAAAACCTAAAACAACTTTTTCTCTTTTTTAAAGTGGCTCATTTTTACTATTTTCACAAGCTTTTCTACTTTATCGGACAATCTAAGTCCAAAATAAATGTTATTTTTCTATAATTTGAGGGTAGAGTTCCGAAAATTCGACAAGTACCCAAAAATTACCCGAATATCCAAGAAAAAAACAAAAACCCAACACAAATACCCAAAACCCCACCCAAAGCATACAATAACCCAGATTTTTGCCAACCCTGTCTCTTTAAGACTACTGACTACCTTTTTATATGCAAATGACCGGGCTGTTCTCACAATGTAAGTAGCGCACAAAAAAGACCAAATAAATTGCAACGTTATATTACCAAATTGGGTAACTTTCATTTTTTTATTAATCGAAACGCCAACTTGAATACACCGGATAAAGTTCGTTCGTACTGTTATAATTTTCAGCAGTAGTCTCCAATATGAATTTTCACATACACTATCTTTACGGGGCAAATTTATAACGTGGAATTTCGTTTATGCCTTCTGAGCGAGGTCCCCAAAACAACCAGTTAATTTATTTTCCGACGAAACTTTTGCGTTCGCGATTTTACTGCGTTAATCTTCCTTTTAGTAATGCTTATTTCAAATTCAAGTATAGACAACCCTTCGAACTTGGGACCGGCGGACCGTTTTCTTTTTTAAATATGGTTTCTTTGGCCTTAGCTCTCCCCAGGTGGTTCACAGGCGTACTATTAAATTTTCGCTCTCTTAATTACTTGTAGTGAGCTCTACGTCGGCTTCAAACGCATTCGTTTCTTCTCTTGTAAGAACTTGAAACGAGATCCACTGCGGTTCGACCCATAATAAATCGTCCCACTACACCTCAGCGAAATTCCCAGTATTTTCTAAGCTTTATCTACGACCGAATATGATTCAGCGGTATTTCTTATGAATTCCGCCTTACTGACTACTTAAGTCCACAGATAATTGAATTTTTTTTAACAAAAATCGAAATAAATAATCACGCTAGAGAGCTCCCGTTACAAATTTAAACCTTTTTTTAAAATCTTTTTTGAATTTTTTTAAAAATCAATCCCTGGTGTATTATATTTTTCAAAAAAGAATTTAATACGCTATTTTTTTAAAATTAATAAATAATAAATAAATATAGTGTCTCATTTCAACAAATTTCGTTAGGTCCAATAGCTTTTTTATCTGACGTAAGTTATTTTGAGAACTGCAGATTATTATTTTGTATGAAACATTTTCCTATGAAAGTGTCAAAAATGGGACACCCTGTACTGTTTAGTGTTAACTTTACAATGGTTGTTTGCTTCACAATCAAAAATTAAAAACAATTTTTATCTAGATCTCCATTGTAATAATCCAAAAATTGAAGCATTGAAGATTCGTAACTGATCACCTCGCTGATCACAATTGCCTTGTGAAATACGCTTTCAAAAGATTCATGAAACTTTACAAAAACGCTTTAGTACTGCATAGATGTCAATTATTTTATACTGACCAATGAAATTTTTACTGAATCTCTCCTCTCACCCATATCACCAAATAGCCCCAGCAATAGAAGTAATAATAATAACCCCAAAAGGCCTTTATTAAGATTATACAGCAAATTATATTAACAAAGATTGAGAAAGTGGCACACCCGTTTCCTGTTCTTCCACCTAACCTGCGAATCTGGTATCAAGATAAGGACCATTAAAATTAAAAAAAAGACAATAAATAATTAAAAACGAGATAAAAAATGATTCAACTGTCCTGGGAAATCTGCTCTGCATTGAGTTTTTTCGTGACATACCTATTCAGAAAGAGAAAAGCTACTCACCTCCATTGGTAACATGTAATAAAGCATCACAATGTTAGAGAGGTGAACTATTGAAGAACATGATACCCCACAGGATTGATTTAACTTCTGTAAATAGTTAAGACTCTCTATAGTCTATAGGCAAAACATGGTGATGTTCCACAAGACAGTATCTTTGGACCTATGCTTTTCAAGTTTTGTATGTCATTTATTTGTTCTTATCGAATGTTACCCAGAACATACAATTATTAAGTTAATCCTCGAGTTAATCTGTACCAATGTAGGTACTGCATAAGAAGATGTACAAGTGTTTATCTCCCTGTGTTTTTGCCTAGCTATTACACAAACAATCGAACCACACGAAACAAATTTCATATTAATCACACAACCGGGTATGTTTCAATTGTTGTTTTACGTATTTAAACAAAACAATGACACTTAATTTGTAACTTCAATTGAATTGCTGTAATAGGAACAAAGTCCAGTGCTCTCAATTGCACGAATAAACATTGCGGCAAGTAACATTTACAAACATTCCCTTACCTAGAATGGCTTTCTTATGATGTAACAGTTCGTAATAGCTCCTGGCGAGCAGTTCGGAAGGGTTAGTGGGAGTAAATCGGCCCATATTGACTAGCCTTTGACATGTCTGCATTAAATGCAACGAGAACTCGCCGGGATCGATGCCGTACGCTCGCCAACCGCCGACACCGTCTGCAACCCCTGCAACATACGTGTTAGCGGAATGTAAGTTTAGAATTTGGATACTGACCCAAAACGTCCGCCGTCTTGTACTTGGCCGTAAACCAAGCGTCGTCCCCGAACTGTCCCTTGATCAGTCTTTGTATTTTTCTCTCCTTAGGAAATCCACAGACGGCGGATATGATTTGGGGGTCCTTCTTTCGTTGTAGGTTCGCGTCCGCCGCCGTCGACAGATTGGAAATGCCATTCCAGATAGCTCGAGACAGTAACCTGCTCGTCAGCCACAGTGTGTGCATTATTATATAACACTATCTTCTTAAAGCACTAAGTTTTTTTTAGTAAAATTGTGTTCGCGTTCATTTTTTGGTCACCGCAATTGAAGTAATCGTAATCTCACTCGTTTATTACAGTTCCAGTCATTGTCACATGCACACCACACACCTTCTTAACCAAACTTTTACCCTAAACATTCACAACCAGCACCATTTTCTAACTGCGAACTTCGACGAATTCGATTTTGTTCGAGTATTCCCCACTACTGTACGATAAACCAGTGGCGTACCGGTCGCGTAACGTTCTTCCCGCGCTATTTATAGATGAGCGAACGTTCCCAAATTGATTCAAGTATAAATAATTGGACAATTGGGTCAAATTTTATGTTTATATTACGATTTGGTCAATTACAGTTTGACGTAGATTTTAGAAATGGCAACACGCGACAACTTAACATGTAATATCGCGTGCATGCTTCCTACTTTACTTACTGATGTGATGTGACTATAAATCATTCCGGTTCATTTTCGCATTTCCACAAAAGACACAAAGGCGCCGTATTGTGGCCATTTTGTCCATCCACCGGAAGTAAAATGGTGGCCAATTTAGTGAGTTTTTTAAATTTCCAGTAGGAAGAGAGTCATAGTTACTCGTTACACATCGGAGGGCCTGGGGGTCAGCTCCCTCAGTTACCCCGCAATAGGGCCGCATTGAATACGGAGGCAATGAAGTCTAACGTTTAACTCCACAGCTTCTCCGTCCTGGTTCAGAGAGCGGAGGAGTCCCCGTCTAGCACCAGGCACCATAGCAGTGGAGACAACACTCCACCCTGCAGACCTCTAGTAACCGATGAGCTCATCTCCGTCGTGCCTATTAAGGATTTAATGACTCTCCATTTTACGATTGCCCCATCAATGCCAAAGCGTTCAGCATCTTCCACTAGTTGAATCGAGCGGGGTGTTGTTAAATTCACGCTCAATATCTAGAAACGTTTCCATGGTCCCCGGCAGACATTACCCTCTCCAGCCTGCACACTAGGCTCTGAAGAGCCGTCTTCGTGGACATACCACCCTTGTAAGCATGTTGGAATGGATGCAGTCGCCTAAGGACGAGTACCCCATTCCTTATGTATGCATCCACCACCTTTTAGAAGAAACTATGATAGGATGATGGGCCTGTAATCCTTCGCCATGTCATATACGGCCCGAACCGCCTCTTACCTGTCTCCAGCCTTTGGCGATATACCCTAAAGCCAAGGAGGCTCTAAAGAGGTGCAACAAATGTAAAAGCAGAGGTTCCAGGCCCTTCTGCAGAAGAGCCGGGACTATCCCGTCTGGCCCTGCACTTTTAAATGAACTGAACACGTTGATCGCCCATCTCAAAGATCCCTCGGTAATCATCCGGGCAGCTACTTTCCCTCCCTCTCCTTTTTTCCTTTTTGTTTTCCACCCCAAGAATAAACATGTCAAGACAACCCTCAACCCATTTTCCGTCATGTTTAACGCTTCTGCGCCTCTAAAAATTTTTTTCACCCTTTGTCGTCCGTTTTCTTTCCTTCTTGCACCCCTAGCAGCGAGAATAAGCATTTCACAACAACCCTCCACCCATTTTCCGTCATATTTAAAGCTTCTGCGCCTTTAATAATTTGTTTCCCCCTTTGTCGTCCGTTTTCTTTTCTTCTTGCACCCCTAGCAGCGAGAATAAGCATTTCACAACAACCCTCCACCCATTTTCCGTCATATTCGAAGCTTCTGCGCCTTTAAAAATGTTATTCACCCTTTGTCGTCCGTTTTCTTTTCTTCTTGCACCCCTAGCAGCGAGAATAAGCATTTCACAACAACCCTCCACCGATTTTCCGTCATATTTGAAGCTTCTGCGCCTTTAAAAATTTTATTCACCCTTTGTCGTCCGTTTTCTTTTCTTCTTGCAGCCCTAGCAGCGAGAATAAGCATTTCACAACAACCCTCCACCCATTTTCCGTTATATTTGAAGGTTCTGCGCCTTTAAAAATTTTTTTCGCTATTTGTCGTCCGTTTTCTTTTCTTCTTGCACCCCTAGCATCGAGAATAAGCATGTCGCAACAACCCTCCACCCATTTTCGGTCATATTTAAAGCTTCTGCGCCTTTAATAACTTTTTTCATCCTTTGTCGTCCGTTTTCTTTTCTTCTTGCACCCCTAGCACCGAGAGTAAGCATGTCACAACCCCCCACTCCCATTTTCCGTCATATTTAAAGCTTCTGCGCCTTTAAAAATTTGTTTTCCCCTTTGTCGTCCGTTTTCTTTTCTTCTTGCACCCCTAGCATCGAGAATAAGAATGTGGCAACAACCCTCCACCCATTTTCCGTTATATTTAAAGCTTCTGCGCCTTTAATAATTTTTTCCCCCTTTGTCGTCCGTTTTCTTTTCTTCTTGCACCCCTGGCACCGAGAATAAGCATTTCACAACAACCCTCCACCCATTTTCCGTTATATTTAAAGCTTCTGCTCCTTTAAAAATTTTTTTCACCCTTTGTCGTCCGTTTTCTTTTCTTCTTGCACCCCTAGCAGCGAGAATAAGCATTTCACGACAACCCTCCACCCATTTTCCGTCATATTTGAAGCTTCTGCGCCTTTAAACATTTATTCACCCTTTGTCGTCCGTTTTCTTTTCTTCTTGCACCCCTAGCAGCGAGAATAAGGATTTCACAACAACCCTCCACCCATGTTCCGTCATATTTGGAGCTTCTGCGCCTTTAAAAATTTTATTCACCCTTTGTCGTCCGTTTTCTTTTCTTCTTGCACCCCTAGCAGCGAGAATAAGCATTTCACAACAACCCTCCACCCATTTTCCGTCATATTTGAAGCTTCTGCGGCTTTAAAAATTTTATTCACCCTTTGTCGGCCGTTTTCTTTTCTTCTTGCACCCCTAGCAGCGAGAATAAGCATTTCACAATAACCCTCCACCCATTTTCCGATATATTAAAAACTTCTGCGCGTTTAAAAATTTTATTCACCATTTGTCGTCCGTTTTCTTTTCTTCTTGCACCCCTAGCACCGAGAATAAGCATTTCACAACAACCCTCCACCCATTTTCCGTAATATTTGAAGCTTCTGCGCCTTTAAAAATTTTATTCACCCTTTGTCGTCCGTTTTCTTTTCTTCTTGCACCCCTAGCACCGAGAATAAGCATTTCACAACAACCCTTTATTCACCCTTTGTCGTCCGTTTTCTTTTCTTCTTGCACCCCTAGCAGCGAGAATAAGCATTTCACAACAACCCTCCACCCATTTTCCGTCATATTTGAAGCTTCTGCGGCTTTAAAAATTTTATTCACCCTTTGTCGGCCGTTTTCTTTTCTTCTTGCACCCCTAGCAGCGAGAATAAGCATTTCACAATAACCCTCCACCCATTTTCCGATATATTAAAAACTTCTGCGCGTTTAAAAATTTTATTCACCATTTGTCGTCCGTTTTCTTTTCTTCTTGCACCCCTAGCACCGAGAATAAGCATTTCACAACAACCCTCCACCCATTTTCCGTAATATTTGAAGCTTCTGCGCCTTTAAAAATTTTATTCACCCTTTGTCGTCCGTTTTCTTTTCTTCTTGCACCCCTAGCACCGAGAATAAGCATTTCACAACAACCCTCCACCCATTTTCCGTAATATTTAAAGCTTCTACGCCTTTAAAAATTTTTTTCACCATTTGTCGTCCGTTATCTTTTCTTCTTGCACCCCTAGCACCGAGAATAAGTATGTCACAACAACCCTCCACCCATTTTCCGTCATATTTGAAGCTTCTGCGCCTTTAAAAATTTTATTCAGCCTTTGTCGTCCGTTTTCTTTTCTTCTTGCACCCCTAGCAGCGAGAATAAGCATTTCACAACAACCCTCCACCTATTTTCCGTCATATTTGAAGCTTCTGCGCCTTTAAAAATTTTATTCACCCTTTATCGTCCGTTTTCTTTTCTTCTTGCACCCCTAGCACCGAGAGTAAGCATTTCACAACAACCCTCCACCCATTTTCCGTAATATTTAGAGCTTCTACGCTTTTAAAATTTTTTTTCACCCTTTGTCGTCCGTTTTCTTTTCTTCTTGCACCCCTACCATCGAGAGTAAGCATTTCACAACAACCCTCCACCCATTTTCCGTAATATTTAGAGCTTCTACGCCTTTAAAAATTTTTTTCGCCATTTGTCGTCCGTTATCTTTTCTTCTCGCACCCCTAGCACCGAGAATAAGCATGTCACGACAACCCTCGACTCATTTTCCGTCATATTTAAAGCTTCTGCGCCTTTAACAATTTTATTCAGCCTTTGTCGTCCGTTTTCTTTTCTTCTTGCACCCCTAGCAGGGAGAATAAGCATTTCACAACAACCCTCCACCGATTTTCCGTCATATTTGAAGCTTCTGCGCCTTTAAAAATTTTATTCACCCTTTGTCGTCCGTTTTCTTTTCTTCTTGCACCCCTAGCACCGAGAATAAGCATTTCACAACAACCCTCCACCCATTTTCCGTAATATTTAAAGCTTCTACGCCTTTAAAAATTTTTTTCACCATTTGTCGTCCGTTATCTTTTCTTCTTGCACCCCTAGCACCGAGAATAAGTATGTCACAACAACCCTCCACCCATTTTCCGTCATATTTGAAGCTTCTGCGCCTTTAAAAATTTTATTCAGCCTTTGTCGTCCGTTTTCTTTTCTTCTTGCACCCCTAGCAGCGAGAATAAGCATTTCACAACAACCCTCCACCTATTTTCCGTCATATTTGAAGCTTCTGCGCCTTTAAAAATTTTATTCACCCTTTATCGTCCGTTTTCTTTTCTTCTTGCACCCCTAGCACCGAGAGTAAGCATTTCACAACAACCCTCCACCTATTTTCCGTCATATTTGAAGCTTCTGCGCCTTTAAAAATTTTATTCACCCTTTATCGTCCGTTTTCTTTTCTTCTTGCACCCCTAGCACCGAGAGTAAGCATTTCACAACAACCCTCCACCCATTTTCCGTAATATTTAGAGCTTCTACGCCTTTAAAATTTTTTTTCACCCTTTGTCGTCCGTTTTCTTTTCTTCTTGCACCCCTACCATCGAGAGTAAGCATTTCACAACAACCCTCCACCCATTTTCCGTAATATTTAGAGCTTCTACGCCTTTAAAAATTTTTTTCGCCATTTGTCGTCCGTTATCTTTTCTTCTCGCACCCCTAGCACCGAGAATAAGCATGTCACGACAACCCTCGACTCATTTTCCGTCATATTTAAAGCTTCTGCGCCTTTAACAATTTTATTCAGCCTTTGTCGTCCGTTTTCTTTTCTTCTTGCACCCCTAGCAGGGAGAATAAGCATTTCACAACAACCCTCCACCGATTTTCCGTCATATTTGAAGCTTCTGCGCCTTTAAAAATTTTATTCACCCTTTGTCGTCCGTTTTCTTTTCTTCTTGCACCCCTAGCACCGAGAATAAGCATTTCACAACAACCCTCCACCCATTTTCCGTAATATTTAAAGCTTCTACGCCTTTAAAAATTTTTTTCACCATTTGTCGTCCGTTATCTTTTCTTCTTGCACCCCTAGCACCGAGAATAAGTATGTCACAACAACCCTCCACCCATTTTCCGTCATATTTGAAGCTTCTGCGCCTTTAAAAATTTTATTCAGCCTTTGTCGTCCGTTTTCTTTTCTTCTTGCACCCCTAGCAGCGAGAATAAGCATTTCACAACAACCCTCCACCTATTTTCCGTCATATTTGAAGCTTCTGCGCCTTTAAAAATTTTATTCACCCTTTATCGTCCGTTTTCTTTTCTTCTTGCACCCCTAGCACCGAGAGTAAGCATTTCACAACAACCCTCCACCCATTTTCCGTAATATTTAGAGCTTCTACGCCTTTAAAATTTTTTTTCACCCTTTGTCGTCCGTTTTCTTTTCTTCTTGCACCCCTACCATCGAGAGTAAGCATTTCACAACAACCCTCCACCCATTTTCCGTAATATTTAGAGCTTCTACGCCTTTAAAAATTTTTTTCGCCATTTGTCGTCCGTTATCTTTTCTTCTTGCACCCCTAGCACCGAGAATAAGCATGTCACGACAACCCTCGACTCATTTTCCGTCATATTTAAAGCTTCTGCGCCTTTAACAATTTTATTCAGCCTTTGTCGTCCGTTTTCTTTTCTTCTTGCACCCCTACCATCGAGAGTAAGCATTTCACAACAACCCTCCACCCATTTTCCGTCATATTTAGAGCTTCTACGCCTTTAAAAATGTTTTCACACTTTGTCGTCCGTTTTCTTTTCTTCTTGCACCCCTAGCAGCGAGAATAAGCATGTCACAAAAACCCTCCACCCATTTTCCGTGATATTTAAAGCTTCTGCGCTTTTAAAAATTTTTTTCGCCCTTTGTCGTCCGTTTTCTTTTTTTTTTTTTTTCCTAGCACCAAGAATAAGCATGTGACAATAACCCTCCACCCATTTTCCGTCATATTTAAAACTTCTGCGCCTTTAAAAATTTTATTCAGCCTTTGTCGTCCGTTTTCTTTCCTTCTTGCACCCTAGCACCAAGAAAAAGCATTTCACAACAACCCTCCACCCATTTTCCGTCATATTTAAAGTTTCTACGCCCTTAACAATTTTTTTCAGTTTGAAGGATTTGCGAGGTGCATACGAAAAGAAGGGTAGAAGGCGAAAGAGAAGTGGAGGAATTATTATGACGGCGAGAAGTATCAGCATTAAATTTGTAGCGACATGTAGCAGACGTAAGGGAAATGCAAAGAATATAGGGGGCGTGCAGAAGGGGTAAGGGTAGTTTGAAACAGAAACAGTTAAAATTGCGTTCTTGTTCTCCTCTAACAAATTTTCACATATATTTCCCTCAAGTTCGTGTCAAGTTTCCATGAAGTTTGCCTTAAATTTCCCTTAAGTTCCCATTAGTATATAGTCCGGGAAAAACATAACGCTTGCTCTGCCAGTAAAAGCCTCCATGGTGATTAGGTTCTCCCTAAGTTTTACCCGAGCTCCCCTACATGTTTCCTTCAACTTTTCCTTAAGCTCGCCTTAAATTCTCCTCTTAAAATCCTCTAATGTTCGTCAAGTTCAAGGCAACTTTGGCTTCCTCCAAATTCCCTTCAAATTCCTCTCTGGAAGTGTATTGTCTTCTTGAAGGGATTTGTGTACTGTGTGTAAGTGATAGGATATCGAAAATCCACACTTGTTCCAAGAGGATTTGATTTGATTTTGTGTACATTATAATTTTAAAGTGGTGGTAGCTGTAGGTGAGGAGTCAATGCTAAAACTAAGGCAAACCTTCCATTAAACTTCCTCCTAAGCTACCTAAATGGACGAGTTTTTGCAATTTTTGATTTTTTTAATCAAAATTTAAATTACAATTTGTGGTCCGTTTTGAAACGAAAATGAAATCAATTTCGAAGGAGGAGAAATTACCAACCGTAACAATTACGGTTCTTTGTCACGTACTCACCTTGGATCGCGTTAATTACCTTAGCATAACGAAATTAAGTAAGTATACGTAACAATAAAAACGATCGAACTTTCATCAAATTGAGGTGAACTGTAAACACGAATACGTCCAAAGAGCACTTCCGCTGTAAGCTGTAAAACGAATGTGTATATCGGAAGTGTCGGTGGGGGAGGTAATGACAAGTTTATTGTTTGAAAACATGAAACGATTTGATTTTATGCGATTTCTGAATCTGATGTTGTAGGTAGTTGCGTTTCGATTTACCTACGATCGCGAATGTGAAGTGGTTTATACGGAATTTTCGCAAAAAAAAGGTAACCTTTTTCAAACTTTGTTCTTCGTGCGCCGATCATTTATCTAATTCCAGTGGGTTTATGTTCCCAATTTTGGACACAAAAAGGTACCTTTTGCGCAATTTTGGGTTAAGCTTTGTGATCAATTTTCTAGTTTTGTATTTCAATCAAAATCCATGCGTAATTGCAACCTTTGGATCATACTCCTACACAGTTACGGTTTATTTTATGACCGTAATTTTTTTTGTCCTTGAATTGGAAGATATTAAAAAAATAAGTTTATTGCAGCAGTTACAATTATCTTTACTATTTGCAAACATACCCGATTTTAGCCAGTTTTCTGACACGCCCAAACAATTATAAAAACCTTGTCTAGACACCTGTTCCGTGATAAGTTAATTATCATATTGACTATGTAATTATAGTCACGTGATCAATTTTTTAAGGTGTCATCTTGAATGGACAAAGTCTAAACTCGCTATACCTTCCGTTTAATTGAAAGGGAGGTTTTTTCTTCAGTTGCTCAAATTGCTTCTTCCTAGAGGACGTCTTCAGATGATAAGTTTGTGTCCAAAATTCCCTTTTCACTCAACCCAACTTGGATAAAAAGTTTCCAATTAGTCGATGCAAAGCAAAAGCAAAGTTTCACCTCAAACGAGCTTTTACTGATACTTCGCTCACCCCTATAAAGATGTTAAAGGGGGTAGTATGTAATGTGATATTAATAAAAATTCATTAAAATTGTTAATTGTCACAATAAAGAATCTTTAACACTGTGAACTCTCCGAAATCCAGGGATAATTTTACTAAAAAGTACTAGATACTAAACAACCCCTGAGCCCAATTGGGAAAGTAAAGCGTGTTTTGAAGGGAATTGTACGAAACACCTACGTGATAATGATACGATTTTTTTAATTAAAAATGATACCTGAATACCTTTTAATGAAGTAGGTACCCTAATTGCAATTGTCATTACTAATCCGTTTGCACAAACGATGATATTTAAAGGCTTATTTTAGATTTCATTGCATAACTGCCATGTTATTAAGCTTAATTGGTAGGTGCCGAGAGGGAACCTTGAATTAAACAACAGCGCGTTCCTTTTATTACCTTAATTTACATTTGTATCAATCTTTTCAATTTGTAAAATGAAACTGGGCAAGGTTTAGGGCTTCCAAAACTTTATTCGCAAACGAAACAATCAACCAATCAAAGTAATTTATATTTAGCTACACAATCGCAAAATTATATTTATCAGCCACTCTTTATGTAATTTTAATTAATATACATGAGCAAATGTTGACTTCAAAATGATTATTAATTACGTAATTTGCTCTCATAATTTTCAGGCATAAACTGTTGTTTTTTAATATGCATTATTTCATAAATTTAATTAATACGTAATGAGCTAGCGTCCAAATTTCGAATTTCCACGATTTCTGTGATAAAATTATGCAGTTTCAAAAGGATTAAAATTGGACATATTGCCAAAGGTTCCCTGCCAAATTGTCTAAGAGAATTATGGAACTATTTCGAGCGTCACCAAAGTGTACCTATTTGCAAATAGCTTTTTGACACCTTCACTCCTTTGAGTTTCTCACAGGGCACGTCTGTAGTGATTTTTTAGGATAATATACAACCTTCTCCAGTAATTCAAACTTTTTTTTAGATTAGAAAATTTACCTCGGCGAACAATAAACAATCATTTAGATAAGATTAATCTTAACATTATTATATCTCGACTTTATTCACATTTTGTTCCATAAATAGCGTAAATCATATGACTTTTATCCACGAGAAGCAAAATACGTTTCTCGTGATCCACATACGAATTTTCTCATGACTGGGAGAGCACGAGATTCGTGAGGATATTAATAGAGTAAAGAATTGAAAGTTGGAGGTGGTCTGCGGCAGATGCTGTAGACACTTAATTATCTCAGGAGAAATCTAATAATGAAATCAGGCCGTTTTGATCTCAATTTAATTTAAATGTAATTCCACTTATATTAGATTGCAGGAGACGAAACGTGACTAACTCGACAAGCGAGTAGTTTTTTGTGCCTATTCCCCACAAAAATTGAAAACCTACTCCTGCAGCCCTTGGCTTGAAGAGTGTAGATTCGTCTCGGGTACTTCAAATAGGCTAAATTTTGATAGCTCTTCCTCTTTGAGCACATTACTGAGGTCTACTGTAGAAATTAATGGAAAAAATCATTTAAATAAATAGTTCGTAGTCCGAAGATAATTGCGTTAATTCCTTGATTGTTTATTTTTTGTGGTAAGTAAATAACCTGTTGCTTTAAAATTGTAAACTAATTGTTAAGTAATGTTTGGTGAACCAAACGAAATCATCACCAATCAATTTGGGTGTAGAATTTAAAATCTTTTAGGAAGCCTTACTGAGAATATTTGGCCCATGGCCAAAAAACTACAAAGCACCGAAATTGTTTGGAGAATTAGGCACCGTTTTTCATTAAAAACATTCAGAAATAAACGGAAACTTCTTTTAGAGCAGATCCATGATGTAGTGACGCAACCGGGGTGGTCCAAGAGGGAAAATGATCAAAAAGAATCGGAAAGCTGACGGTGGAACGGCGAAAATGTCCAGTAAGAGGCTTAAAGAGGTTGAGGAGCTCGTCCTACCCGCGAGCAAATTGAAATTCTGCAGCGAGCAGTTGCAAAATTTGAATTTTATCTTCACCAAGAAGCTGGATGAAGAATACGACCCGGAGTACTGTAAGTATTATTATTAATTGTTGCAAAAATCCGATTCGTTAGACATGCACTTAAATGTAAATAGCTAAGAAAATGGAAAAGTGTGCAACATCATGCAGAGGAGATGATGATAAATGCACTAGTCCAGCTCTAGATACAAATTCTCTAAAATATATTCAAAGAGTAGTTGTGAAAGAGCTGTGCAGGCAGCACATCTTACACTCATGCAAATTAGGCGACTTGCATCAGTAGCAAAAGATCGAAAAGTGCCCCAATTGCAGGTACAGGGGCCCGTGAATTTAGTAGAGCATTGGCGGCACAAAATTCGAGACTAGGTGGATTGGTTAATGCCTCGTTTGTGCCGTAAAAAGTTTGCCAGCAAAACATACCGTTTGAAAATTATTCTGATTTTTAGATGTGCTGCTAATAGGCCACCAGTCATTAGGGATTTTTACCTGTAAATAACTCAGGAAAATTCACAAAATGCACAATTCGAAAATGCCGCCGGCGCCGCCATCTTACCAAGATGGCCGCCCAAAAACGGTTTTTCGCATATATCTCAAAAACTGTGGATTTTTCGAAAAAATATATGGTGAGCAAAATGAAAAAGATGGCATATTTTCACGAGAGTTAACCCTTAGGCAGAAAACCAGAAATTTTTAATAAACGGTGGTCTATATTTTATCAAAATAATTTATTAATCATTTAATTAATTGAGATTCACTGTAAACCCCATAAACGCAAATAGAGATTTAACCCCAAGTCGATTGTGTATTACTTAATTTTTTAAGAAAAATCGACCATACCCTGTACAGTCATGTCCTTTTTTTTTAAATTATATTAATTATATATTTTATAGAATGTGGCCCGTAGAATCCATAATTTCAAACAGTTCCAAGATTGGGCTACTAGTTCAAAAGTTACAGCCCTTTGAATTTTCTTTCGAAATTGGTTTCTAGTCTATAACTTTTGATTGAGAAGTTTGATCGAAAAAGTACGAATTGTTTTGGATTCTACGCACCAAAATTAATATGAAAAAGTGTTTTCCCGAGAAATTTTGGTGCAGTCGATTTTTGGTAAATAAGGAAGGTTATACACTGCCTTTTTTTGATCCCCGAAAAAAAAATTGTCTCAGATCGACCCGGTAAAAAAATTTTCTTATAGAATGTGGCCTGTAGAATCCATAATTTCAAACAGTTCCAAGATTGGGCTACTAGTTCAAAAGTTACAGCCCTTTGAATTTTCTTTCGAAATTGGTTTCTAGTCTATAACTTTTGATTGAGAAGTCTGATCGAAAAAGTACGAATCGTTTTGGATTCTACGCACCAAAATTAATAAGAAAAAGTGTTTTCCCGAGAAATTTTGGTGCAGTCAATTTTTGGTAAAAAAGGAAGGTTATACACTGCCTTTTTTTGAGCCCGAAAAAAAAATTGTCTCAGATCGATCGGGAAAAAACATTTTCTTATAGAATGTGGCCTGTAGAATCCATAATTTCAAACAGTTCCAAGATTGGGCTACTAGTTCAAAAGTTACAGCCCTTTGAATTTTCTTTCGAATTTGGTTTCTAGTCTATAACTTTTGATTGAGAAGTCTGATCGAAAAAGTACGAATTGTTTTGGATTCTACGCACCAAAATTAATAAGAAAAAGTGTTTTCCCAAGAAATTTTGGTGCATTCGATTTTTGGTAAAAAAGGAAGGTTACACACTGCCTTTTTTTGAGCCCCGAAAAAAAAATTGTCTCAAATCGACCCGGAAAAAAAATTTTCTTATTTTCTTATAGAATCTGGCCTGTATAATCCATAATTTCAAACAGTTCCAAGATTGGGCTACTAGTTCAAAAGTTACAGCCCTTTGAATTTTCTTTCGAAATTGGTTTCTAGTCTATAACTTTGATTGAGAAGTCTGATCGAAAAAGTACGAATTGTTTTGGATTCTACGCACCAAAATTAATAAGAAAAAGTGTTTTCCCGAGAAATTTTGGTGCAGTCGATTTTTGGTAAATAAGGAAGGTTATACACTGCCTTTTTTTGAGCCCCGAAAAAAAAATTGTCTCAGATCGACCCGGAACCCCAAGCCGATTGTGTATTACTTAATTTTTTAAGAAAAATCGACCATATCCTGTACAGTCATGTCCTTTGAGGGTTGCAATTATTGAGGTGGGTTAAATATTGTTGTTTCATTGCTCGATTATGTTCAAGCGATTTACTGTAAACCCTATAAACGCAAATGGAAATTTAACCCCAAGCAGAATATGTCGTATTACTTAACTAAAATTACATGCTCTATCTACGCAGGCCTGACGGACCTGGTTCGTTAATGTCAGTGTTTTCAATGCCGAATGCGTCCATTGAATTTATCCCATCGAAGCTTGCAACTTTTATTTGAAACTTTTTTTGATATCTCTCCTTGTTACTAAAATATTTAAACTTTTTAAAAATGTCGATTTTCACTTTTTTCCAATTATCTACAGAACGAATTATTTTTTTCAAAATATCACATCGGAATATCCATCAGCAGCAAAAACTACACAACTTGGCCAATTTAACCGAATCTATAAGTATAAAAATAACAAAGATAGCCATGCTATCCTACTCAATTTAAGACACCCTGTATACTCTAGTTTTTGTACTCCTGTCTGCAATCAGCTACAGCAATTTGAATGTTCAAATTTGAAAGGAAAAATTTGTTTGATTGTAGCATTAATATACCTACCAAGCTACGGCGCAGAAATGAGGGTTTAAAACTCTACAGAAAAAGCTATGAAGAAACTACTGCCTCCCAAATTCGAAAAGTTAAGTTAATAATATGGTGCAAGATCCAAAATATAGGGTGGCCCACTGAAAACAGTCAATGCCAATTTTGGCCGCTTAACAACAGTTTTGCCAGAAACCCTCGAACGCGTCAATTTAGTTATTTAGTTTCGAGGGGGCATCTAAATTAAATAATACCTACTATTAACTTAACTTCAACTTTGAGAAAGGGGTGAATTTCACCATAAATTTTAAAGTTCGATACGCATGTTCTTCCTGTTTTTAGCACTGTTTTTATTTTTCAAATCCGATCAATAGATACGGATATTTAAATGGATTTGTGAGAGCCGTTTTAAATGTTTATCACGTAGGCGTTGTAACTCAAAAATAATAATAGGTTTTTTTAAAGCGGAGTTACTATTATTTCAACGCCTATGTGATAAACATTTAAAACGGCTCTATAAATCCATTTAAAGCTCCGGACCTACTGATCGGTTTTGAAAAATAAAAACCATGCTGAGAACAGAATGAACATACGTATTGAACTATCAGACGTTTACCCCACCCCTTCCCATTTAAAATTTTTAGGGAAAATTCACCCCTTTCTCAGGGTTGAAGTTATGTAAATAGTATTATTTAATTTAGATGTCCCTCTTAAAACTAAAATTGACGTGTTCGAGCGTTTCTGGCAAAATGGTCGTTAAACGGCCAAAATTGGCATTGACTGTTGGCCACCCTGTATACATACATATAAAGGTAATCATACATTATCAAATTGTGTTTGACATTTTAGTGTGTACTGTCACTTTTTGTCCCTTAAACAGAAAACAAAGCACGTTGATTTAGTCCACGGAGTACAAAAAACCATATTTTTCGACCTTGGGGGAGAACCGCTCGCGCCACCCTCTAGGATGAAAGGTACACAGATCGGTTTCCGCATCGATTGATTTTACGCAAAAGTGGTCAAAACTCACTTTTTATTACAAACTTTTTTTGTGCTCAGTTGCAGCGGCACAAATATGAACATTCTTGTAAAGTTTCGTGTGAACAAAGTGCACTTATTTTTAATATTTTTTATTATACCTGAATCACAATCTCCGTTTTAAACACTCAAATGCGTGCGAAAAAGGGCCTTTAAAACACACGTGCTTTAAAGTTGCTAAGTAACGATACTTCAAGTATGACTTTTGAAACTGTCATCTGGATGAAATAAAAAATCCTCTTAGGTCGCTTTCTGTAAATGCAGAACATTTCTTTGGCTTTTGTACCTATCCTTTGGTTGAAGCTTTCACAAACGCGCGTAATTTAGGGTATGCTTCCAAATCTGTTCCACTTTTTAATCGCAGCATTGCTTTAAAGTTTTGAATGAATGCACCAAAATATAGAAGATTTAAATACCTTTGACATTTCCTTCATATATGCCAGCATTATGGATGCATTTAAGACTGTATTCGTAACTTCCTATTCATCCATGGAGACAATTTTTCATATTCTTTATAATAGGCTTTACTGGAGTTGGAGTTTACACCTATCAACGTTTGTTTAGATTTTACAACAATCGATTTAATGGACGGTGTATTATCTTTTTCAACGGAAATCGTTTAATTCACAAAGACGATGATTTTTATAAGCAAACGTCAAGTGACATTTCCATGGCAATCGTGAAATTACGAACACCCAGCCCACTTAATTAGACATGTATTCGAGTATAACGTCAATATGACTTCATTGTATTTCCTATTTTTAAATTATACTGCAGGTATAATAAAAAATACTATAAGATACACGTGTATAATTGGTCTTTAAAGCACTTGCAACGTTAAAGGCACTCCGCTTTGCGTCGTGCCCTTAAACTCGTTGCGCGTGCTTTAAAGACTTGATTATACACTTGTATCTTAATATACTATTTCCACACGACAATAAAGCTGAACAAGCGGAAAATGATGCAGATGTGCTGATTGCCAGCTTGTGCTCCAAATTTAGTGCTGCAGTCATAGGTGGCGAAGACGTTGATGTAACAGTAAAAGTAAACTCAATTTTGCTACTTTCCCACCAAGTTCAAAAATTCTATGGAATCGAAAGAAATCCAAAGACTGGGACTGGAAACTTGGCAGCAATACACTTCCACTTTCAGTGTATCAACTTTTTCTTCAGTTGAATACACAAACTAAGATAAAAATACAGAAGCTAAAGCAACATTATTCAAATTTATTAATACCACTCGAACCCGACTTGAGCTCTTCTACAGTCCAAAACCAGATGCCGATTAATCCCCTCAATTTTATTCAGACCCTACGAACTACAAAATCTAGGTTTGCTAAAATTTTGGCATGATCAAATCTCTAATTTGAACACCCTGTATATCTTCTAATAAAATTTACTTTCTATAAACCCTTTTTGCGGAACAAAATTTTTTAGATTCTGGGGCTCCCCACTCCCACCTTCCAAAGATATCCGAAGTTATAGCTTCTACACCACTATTTAAAAGTTGTCCCAAATAAATTTAAACTTCCTAAAACTTGAGTTTCAAATACCAGTCATTGAGGGGGACCATTTTTATACAGAGATTACTCTTTAACTTTAATTCTGCGCTAAAGGTAGCAGACCCCTTTTGAGATTCGTCTTAAATCTGCAAATACTTGTTACTTAAAGTGTTTTCTGTGTTGATCTGCGGTGAATTTCGCTTCAGGATTTGCAGAAGCATTTCTTAATTTTTTAGATGTTTACAGCTTGCTACCAAGACAACTTTAAGATTTGCAACTTTAGCCCTCATTGAGGGGTAGGTTTGTAGGCTGTGACCCTTTAAAATATTATGGTGGTAATCAAAAATATTAGAATGGGAAATGAGCATTCCCTATTAAATATCCGTAGCATGTATGGGTAGTCTTTGTCTTCATGTCTTTCTCTCTGTTGAGTTCTGCTCTTCTTTGTTTCCATCTTTTCTAAAATCTTCTTCATCCAATTATTTCCTCTCTCCATTCGTCTCATTGTTTTTCTCGTTCTTGGTACCGCTGTTCATACCAGATGATCTATATTCTCTTTTTTCTCGTCACATAGGTGGAATTTCCTTCCTTGTTCTTCTTCATCTTCTCTCTTGTTTTCTAGATATGAACCTCGACCGTATCTTTTTATATGTTCCCATCTCTTGAGAATGTCCTCCCTCTATTGTTGCAATTGTAGTTGTTAATTCTTTTTTCGATACTTTCCCTTCTTTTTCTCACTAAGCTTTCTCTCTCTTCTTCACACATCTTACCACCCTTCGTTCTATCTCTGTTTTTATCTTTTCCATTTAGTACCACCCCTACATCGGTAACATGAAGACGCTTTCATTAAAAAGAGGAATTTGAAACGAAGAATTGAATCGATAATTTTCCTAATCAAATTTCATTATTTTAGCAAAAGCAGTGTCCCTGGCCAAATCCATTACTGAAAGACTGATTCAACGGCTACTCTGCGGTGTTGGAATGATGGAGCCACGATTCGCAAGCAAATTTTTGGTTACCTTGCACGACGATAGTGTAAGCACTATCGAATCATCAATTTTTCCTGACAATTTTTGCAGGTCTTCAACGAAGAACTGGATTACTTAGTCCGTCTCGACTCGCTGTCCACGCCCAAGCTGCACCCGACGGAGTATTCTCCCAAATACACCATCGTCGAGGGTAACAGTGGAAATCGGCTGGCAGGTTACGCGCAAGTTCGTCTACACCAACCCTACTGTGTGGATTGGCAGGAGTTCGTTAATCCCAAAGGATACCTTCGGAGGTGAGCTCGTGCTGGTTAAAGCGGTTGTTCACGGTTGTCGTCGTTGCAGAGACAAGGTGCAGGCGAAATTGGTGGAGCTTTTGAGTGTGGCGGCATCGACCGACGTTCCGGATTCGCCACTAACGGTGGACGAGTCGCTGGTTTGCGGTTCTCCGGGGAAAATTATGGATGCGCTCACTTTGCACCAGGTGCTCCACATCCCATCCGAAAAGCACGTGTTTTATGGACCATGTAAGTCTCGCGGAACTGCCGACCTGGTGCGATATTCAGTTTCAGCTGGAAAAACGCCCCGATTTCCCAACCCTCGCGACTTTAAATTGGCGATAGTCGACGATCCCAGTGGAATACGCATTCGCGTCGGTTTCCATTCGCCGGCTCTATCGTCCATTTGCATCGACGTTCGGTTACTCGTCGCCATCGGTTTTGACGCTTGGCCGTCCAGCTCGAACTTTCCGGTTCGTGTTCCACTAGGACACTCAGATTGTGTTTTGTATTACAAAGCAGCACAAACGGTAGCTAGTTTTGATTTTTTACTTTACAAATTACGGCTCCTTCCTCCTAGGGACTGTACCTGGTCGGATATGGGGTTCAATCAATCGGCTGGCAAATAAGGTTACCCGCGGCAGAATGCACACTGGAGAGCAACTACAGTCCAAATAGTACAGTGAGGCGAATTTTTCTGATACTCTCCTCCGTCTTACGCGAAATCAACGAAGATCACCGCCGATACCAGGTACCACCCCCAAAGCCCGTCCCTTTCAACTGTTACAGATTTCCCATAGAATTCTCAACACCTACTCACTCCGATCGGCGCTCTTCTCGCACCTCGAAGACGACCTATCAACCCCCACGAAGGTCACCCTGAATTGGTCACCGAAATATCTCTCCACGCACGTTCTGACCGTTTTGGACCTCCTAGTGATGACTTTGCGCAAACAAAGACAGCCGAATTACTTTTTCCCCGACGCCAACATTCTCGTAAATCCCGGCCACTTGTGCGAGGACGACTACGCGATCGAATCAAACCGAGTTAAGGCGATCATGCTGAGATTCTTCGACGAATCACTGACGTCGTTACGACGCAACGTTAACTTCACCCAATTTTTGACCGATCAGCAAATCGAAATGGCACTGCTCAACAGATGGAAGGAACTAATCGACGGACTCACGCCGCCTCCCTCGACGAGAGGTAGACGAATTTGCTTCGCCGGCTCGAAACTCCGCAGAGACGTCGTCTTTACCCAGTACTCCACCAGGCAACTGGAGTACATCGGGTTAACCTTAAAGCACCTGCTTTTGGTGAGGCAAAACACTTTGTTGGTAAGTCGGTTGAGACAGTCCAAGTGGTAAATGGCGAATTTTTAGTTTGGCGATGAGCTGTACTGGGCCGAGCACTTAAACTTATTCAACTTACAGGAGGATTCGGTTGAAGATGTTATTTACATATTGGTAACTGTGATCGAGCAGGCGCGCGATAGGTACTTAGATTGTCTTCCAGAAGCGATCTCTCGCGAGCTAGATAAGGCAAGACTAAGGAGGCAAATTGATATTTCCACCTCCAAGCTGGTGGAACAGGTGAGAAAGGAGAGGGAGGTTGCTAACAAGGGATACGTCGACGACACCACGCTGGTTAAAACAATACTGAGATGGCTGTACAAAGGGTTGGATTACAAGAAGTACCTGGCGCCTGTTTTGCGTCCGTACTTGAGGGTGGTTTTTCTAGCATCTCACGGCGCCTCGTGGCATTTGGAGGCGATTAGGAACGAGGAGTTTTACAACGAAATTAGAGCTTTGGGGGTCTTTGCCAAATTAGTTAATCTCGGTAGGATAACGCCTGCCCAGGGTTTGGTGGACGCGGTCGCCAAGAACTGGAGTTGGGCCAAAAGCATGCTGAAGACGATTGAAGCTGAAAATTTAAGGCTGATTTTTGTGTCTGGCAGCCGCAAATCGTGTAGACACATACTGGCCTTGCCTTCTAGGCCCAATTCGAACCGGTCCAAGCTGTGCTATTCCCACGACCAGACGACAATGGGATCGAAAGACTCCTCCAATCCTATTTTACTGAAACGTAAGTAACGGCTCGTCGTTTCTCCACGATTATCTCTGCCATTCGTGTAGTTAGATCAAAAGGTGAGAAACCAAGCGTGGACGACAGTTTTCAACCTCCTCACCACGTGCTGAAGAATTTGTCACCATTAAATCAAACGACTAAATACTTCCGGAGAATGGGAGAGTATCGCTGCCTAGGCAATATATTTGAGACGATTATTGCAATGAAAAAGTTAAATGTAAGTAAAAGCCTATTCTCATAGATCACAAGGTATATCGCCCTGAAAATTATTTTAGCAAAAATTATAGTGCTTTTTGGGCGTTTTCTTTCATTATAATTCGGTTTTTCACCCTTAATTTTTCACGTACCGAAGCGATCTTAAAGTCTGTCGCCAATTCTTTTAGATTTCGACTTGTAGAATCAAAACCGCCCTGAAAATTTAAAATCGGATTCTTTTGGTAAAAACTATAGCGCTTTTTGGGTGTTTTCTTTCATTATAATTCGATTTTTCATGCTTAATTTTTTACGTGCCCAAGCGATCTTAAAGTATGTCACCAATTCTTTTAGATTTCGACTTGTAGAATCAAAACCGCCCTGAAAATTTAAAATCGGACTCTTTTAGTAAAAACTATTGCGCTTTTTGGGTGTTTTCTTTCATTATAATACGCTTTTTAACCCTTAATTTTCCACGTGCCGAAGAGATCTTAATGTATGTTGCCAATTCTTTTAGATTTCGACTTGTAGAATCAAAACCGCCCTGAAAATTTAAAATCGGACTCTTTTAGTAAAAACTATAGCGCTTTTTGGGTGTTTTCTTACATTCTAATAGGGTTTTTAACCCTTAAATTTCCACGTGCCGAAGAGATCTTAAAGTATTTTGCCAATTCTTTTAGATTTCGACTTGTAGAATCAAAACCGCCCTGAAAATTTAAAATCGGACTCTTTTAGTAAAAACTATAGCGCTTTTTGGGTGTTTTCTTACATTCTAATACGTTTTTAACCCTTAAATTTCCACGTGCCGAAGAGATCTTAAAGTATTTTGCCAATTCTTTTAGATTTCGACTTGTAGAATCAAAACCGCCCTGAAAATGTAAAATCGGACTCTTTTAGTAAAAACTATAGCGCTTTTTGGGTGTTTTCTTACATTCTAATACGCTTTTTAACCCTTAATTTTCCACGTGCCGAAGAGATCTTAATGTATGTTGCCAATTCTTTTAGATTTCGACTTGTAGAATCAAAACCGCCCTGAAAATTTAAAATCGGACTCTTTTAGTAAAAACTATAGCGCTTTTTGGGTGTTTTCTTACATTCTAATAGGGTTTTTAACCCTTAAATTTCCACGTGCCGAAGAGATCTTAAAGTATTTTGCCAATTCTTTTAGATTTCGACTTGTAGAATCAAAACCGCCCTGAAAATTTAAAATCGGACTCTTTTAGTAAAAACTATAGCGCTTTTTGGGTGTTTTCTTACATTCTAATACGCTTTTTAACCCTTAATTTTCCACGTGCCGAAGAGATCTTAATGTATGTTGCCAATTCTTTTAGATTTCGACTTGTAGAATCAAAACCGCCCTGAAAATTTAAAATCGGACTCTTTTAGTAAAAACTATAGCGCTTTTTGGGTGTTTTCTTACATTCTAATAGGGTTTTTAACCCTTAAATTTCCACGTGCCGAAGAGATCTTAAAGTATTTTGCCAATTCTTTTAGATTTCGACTTGTAGAATCAAAACCGCCCTGGAAATTTAAAATCGGACTCTTTTAGTAAAAACTATAGCGCTTTTTGGGTGTTTTCTTACATTCTAATACGCTTTTTAACCCTTAATTTTCCACGTGCCGAAGAGATCTTAATGTATGTTGCCAATTCTTTTAGATTTCGACTTGTAGAATCAAAACCGCCCTGAAAATTTAAAATCGGACTCTTTTAGTAAAAACTATAGCGCTTTTTGGGTGTTTTCTTTCATTCTAATACGGTTTTTAACCCTTAATTCTTCACGTGCCGAAGCGATCTTAAAGTATGTCGCCAATTCTTTTAGATTTTGACTTTTAGAATCCAAATCGACCTGAAAATATAAAATTGTACTCCTTTAGCAAAAATTATAAAACTTTTTGGGTGTTTTCTTTCATTCTAATACGGTTTTTCACCTATAATTTTTCACATCCTAAGGTATGTCGTCAATTCGGTTAGATTTTGACTAGTAGAATACAAAGGCCATGAAAATTAAAAATCGTACTCGTCTAGCCAAAATTATAGAGCTTTTTGTGCTTTTTTTTAAATTCCAGTCTTGCTCGTAAAGCAAGATTGCTTTATATTTAGGTGAACAAGACACTAAAATAATTTCCAGTGAGTTTTTGAGAATTTATTCCAACTGCAGACGAGGAGAGCCACGCCACCCCTTGTATAACTTTCCCGAACCCCCATCATCGCCGACACAATAAAATAGAATAAATTAAACTTCCATATAGCTCGCCCTTTTGTTCCATTTTAAAACTTTCCATTTACACAAAACCGAATTGCGCTAATTTATAATTCACGTCGCTCTCTCTCTCTCGTCATTTCAGATCCTCCAAGAGGTATCCGCACTACTGCCCGACGAGGAAGATCGATTGGAAACCCTAGAAGCAATTCAAAAACTAACAAACGAGAAAGCAAAGCAAACATTCAATAACAAGAAATGTAATGCATTTGTACAGCTCTCGAACTCAAAACGGAAAATAAATCCCGAAAGGCCTTCGGAAAATCGGCAGAGATACACGCCGAAGGAGGAGAGCGCCGGCATTCGAGAGGTAATCGCAATTGACTCGGCCGCGGGCCCGGAAGAAAAACGATTAATAAATGTGGATAGATTAGGTATTGAAAAGGGGTTGAAACGCGATAAGGGAACACTTATTGGAAGTTGTCGTGCTGCTCGTATTCGCGAGGATACGAGCGTCGAAGATTATTTTAAAGTGCAGCCTCTTAAAGGACGATCTAGTTTTAAGTATTGATCTGTTACACGTAGGACGATAGTTATTTTTTATTTCCATGTAACGTTTTATGAATCATAGCATCGTTTAGTTTATTATTATCTTTTGTGATAGCCTTAATAATGTGGGATTGGTAGTAAAGCTTTATGATGCATGTTTGATGGGATTTTTATACTTTCTGTATAATAAATCTATTAAATTGTAGGTTTTTTGTTTTATTAGTGCCCTGAAGCGACGTCAAGTCAAATACTCGTGTAGTAAACTCACGTTTTTATATGGGCGAACATAACAAATATAAGTGTGCAAAGAAAATGTGCACGTAAGAATGAATATCCATTGGAAGAAAAACAAGAGAGGGAAAACAGGGTTAAAACAAAAATAAAACATGCAATTTTTGTTCCGGCAACAAGCAGAGATGAACATTTCTGAGAACATAGAACATAGAATCCATAATTTCAAACAGTTTGAAGATTGGGCGTGAAACAAAAAATATTGAAGCCTTACAAAGGTGACGAGGAGTAAACGTAAAAAATTCATAATTAAAAAACTACGAAGCGTGGCATTTTTGTGTCGATGTATATGGTGTTCCTAGGATCCCCTTTAACGTTCTTGAGGGACCAGACTTCCCAAACGAATTTTCGGGGACGATTTTTCTGGAGGTCGATCTTCCAGTTTGCTCTGGTTTTTGGCGGTACAGGCACAGAAACAGTTTCTTGAAGAAGGAAAACTCAAGGTGTGACTAATTTGCATTCGCAACTTGAAAACTTACTTTAGGGTTTATAAAGAGGATTCAATTTTGCTTTCCATAGTGTACACATACCTTGGGCTCGAGTTTACAGGTCACTGGTCATTAGTCATCGATCCAGTGGCGAATTTTTATTTACTGACACAATAAAAAATAAACAAAGAAAGTGTTCTCGCAATTTCGTACGTGAATGCATCCCTTCGCTTTCAGAATATAACACACGAAACAAACGAATGCCTCAGAGGGAACGTCACGTAAAAACGACTTGGCGTAAAATAAAATTGCAGAATAGTTTGAAGCCCGTGACAAGTTTTCTATTAAAGTTATAAATGACTTAACCGTTAACCCACTCTCCCTTTGAAGAGGTTCATAATTTCTAAATCTCAAGCAATGAAATTACGTCAGGTTTCATTGTCCCAATTCCAGAAGGGGCGCTTTTCGATTATTTTATTTCGAGCTTTCATAACGTGCATACGAAACTGCTTTCAAGGGAATTGGAGACGACGATTTGAATGGCAAATGATCTCTAAGGCTATCTATTGTCAGAAATTGTAGAACTAAGCTCTGAAGGTTCTTCTTGTTACCGTTTTTCAGTTGTATCTAATTTGAAGTAACACCAATAGATCTGGATTAAGAAATTCGAACTGCTTATTGTACGTGGAAAATAGAAATGCTCCCACCATATTTCAAAACGTACCTAGTCGCCCCAGGTTTGGCATCGTAATCTTATAAATGAAAAACGGCTGGACCGATTTTAGTGATTTTCGGTTTGTTGGATTAGTGTTCCCTGGGAATAGGACTTAAGATATCAAAACAGGTAAAAATTTGACTGGAAAAATGGGAAAATTCACGATTATATATATAACACGTTCCAAACTATACAGTGAATTTTTTTTAAATGCCAACATAGGAGTTTGCATGCAATGTAATTTCCCTATGTTCGATTTTTAAAAAAACACATCAATCTATTGAGTAGTTCAAATGAGTAGTAGATACAATTGACAGCTGTCACATTTTTAAAAATACCGCCGTCCAATTTAATTACGAAATCGGTTAGGTTATTGCTTAGAATGTCAAGGAGGACACTTCGAACATTTATTGTAATTGTTTTCGGTATTTATTTTCTTATTTTCTTCATTTATGTATTGAATAGATCAAATTAGTAGAATACCAGGTGCACATGACCTACAAATAATTGAAGGTTGGTTCACAATCAGTTGTCGTGTCAGTGCGTGGCCTGTGAGGTCAAGTTATCGTAAGTTTAAGAAAAATGTATCTTAAAGTTGCAATGGCTTCACATGGCTTCTTTAAAAAAATCTTACCGAGTGCTCTTCATCATAAAGACTATAGTTGCTGTTCATAGTCACACAAGTTGCGCGATTTGGGAATGTGAACCGCGCACACCTCATTATTGATGTGTTTTTTTTAAAATCGAACATAGGGAAATTACATTGCATGCAAACTCCTATGTTCGCATTAAAAAAAAACTCACTGTATATATAAAATAGTAAACCCGATATGTCTTTGCAATCTTATAAATGAAAAACGGCTGGACCGATTTTAGTGATTTTTGGTTTGTTGGATTAGTGTTCCCGGGGAATAGGACATAGGATATCAAAACATGCGAAAATTTGACTGGAAAAACGGGAAAATTCACGATTATATATATAACACGTTCCAAACGATATATAAAATAGTAACTCTCCTCAAGACAGTCTCCTGTGCTTGCAAGGGAGGGTGCAACACATGGGCGGCATTTGAGGGCGCCAAATTCAAAGCATAAATAAGATACTAAAGGAAATTCTGAATACTAGGTATCCGTATCCTCAACAACATATACCTTCCCCATAGAGTGCGAAAATACATTGAATTCCAGACTTCTAACGCACGTTTCTTCAGATTCTCTGTCTCATGAACCTCTGATACCAAATCAATCAATTTTGTTTGTTAGCATCAACTGGATATGCTCCTATGTTTTTTAGGTATCTAGTCAAATAAGGTAGGAGTATCCAAAAGCCTCTTGGATTTTTATAAACCTGGATTTATTTAGATACACTTCAAGGGTATGAAACCGAGTCCTTAGTACTTTTAAAAATTTAGGGATCTTAGGAACACCGCTAACGGCGGTCCTTCAAGCGGCAATGGACACCATTACAATTAAATCGCATTCACGTCCTTTCATAATAATGTCCCAAATGAGCCTTAATTAAATTCGCACCGTCATTATTATTCAAGAGGCGAGATGAAAGTATCTGTACGTGGATAAGGACTACGAGGTGAATTATAAAGCAATTAAACGTTAAATTTTCCTTCGGTCGGGAATAACTCCACCAACAAAGTACGTTTTCGCCACTCGATTAACAGAATTGCTGACTTTGAAGGGACGAAGTGCATCACCTTTTCGAAATTATGCACCGTTAAATTAACGAACGTCCCTGCACAATGATGTTTTTAGATCAATGGCGCGTCGCGACGTCGCAGTCGATCCTGCATCCCAAGGTGTGTCAGACGCAGCATCTCAGCTCCCGGTTAACTTAACCCTACCAGTAGCTACCCCTATCCGCTATAAACTCGTTTAACGCGATGTACTGCATTTGAATCTGACGATCGCTCTGAACGTTTTGTGCTGGGTTTAATTACTATCTCGATGGTGAATGTCTGTGATTTTGACTGTATGGTAAGTGGGCACGATTTTTTGAAAATATGCATTTAATTAGCTTACTCGATGCGATTATTGATTGTGTGAAATTTAACTCCAATTAAAAGCACTTTTGCTCATAAAGGAAATTGATGAGATTCTCTTGTTAGCTAATTACTCGCCGTTTTGTTTAATTAACTGGAGCGCGTTTAATGTTCTTTTATTGGGTGATTTTATTTTTCAGTAACAGGTGCTCTCGAATATTAAAAAGAAACCACTTCTTTCTCTCCAAATTGATACAACCTCCCCGATTCCTACAACTCAATGAGATTTTGAAACTTGTAATAATAAAAATTTACTGCTACTGAACGTAGTTTCTCCAAGGTAAATGAGGCGCGAGTGTGTCCAGTACAAATGAGAAAATTTAAACCCATTACAAACATGAGAAAGGAATTGCCGTTTTGTAGAGTTTTGTAAGTCCTTATTATACTTTGGTACCTTCCGTCGCCCTCAGTAAATAAATTTATGTCTTTTAATATTAACGCGCTGATAAATAAGTGGACATATGTCCATTTTTCAAAGAGAGACACATTTCACCCTGAAGGAGATGAGAGAATTCCTGTCGTAAACACTTTCCATCCCCTGCGAAAAGTAGGACTCGAGATCTTCTTTTATGTCAGTAGGTCCTTGCCTTCTGATGATTCCTCATAAAAACACTTCCATCCACTGTAGAACATTTTAAAAGTACGTGCTCTTAAGATAAGACATTAGATACCCCTAGACAAGGTAGTTTTGGGGTTGGAACTCTTTACTTGTGTCAATTTTTTCTAATGGGATCCTGCCTTCTGAAGGAAATGAGTGATCCTGTCGCAAACGCCTTCCACATCCTACGAAAAAAGTAGAACAACTTACTAAAGGGGGCACACTGTTCTTTTCTTAGAGTAACACGTTAAATCAATACAAAACTTTTTCTAAACTCAGGGAAATAAGGTGACGGGTTTGGAACTCAAATTTCGCTTTATTTTTTTTAGTGGGACACTGCGTTCTAATGGAAATAAATTATTCCTTTCGCGTCCCACGAAAAAATTAGAACACAGCCCTGGTGCAGATAAAGCGCCTTTTCTTAAAGCGTCATATATGATAGTAAATAGTTGGGTTACAAGGTGGTAGCATGGCATTTATAAAAGCCGCCAAGCTCACGTTCCATTTCACATGTCCACGATCCATTTGCCCTTTATAAGTGCCCTCTTCCTACACTTCCTTTTCAAGATATTCACTTCGACTTCACCAATAGATATCTCTTGCCCAGACGATTCATTCTGCCTTTGTGAGCATTCTCCTCCGACAGTTCGCTCTTGAGATATAAGGAATTATAACCCATCACGGTAAGGCCACGAAGGAGAACTATGGTTGGTAAAAATTAATTCCTTTTGTTGAAATTTTCATTAGAGTAATATGACGGATAAAACAATTTTTTGATAGAGAACAGTTTCTTTTGTTGAGACCTTTAATTAGAAGACCATGAAAGATAGATATCAATTTCTAACCCTCCCCCGTTACCCATTGATCACAAAAAGGAGTCGTGCGGGAAAGTTATAGTTTGTAGAAACTAATTCATTTAGTTGAAACCTTGAAGATAAAACGGAGGATTAAACCAGTCCACCCACACCCCCCAAAAAAAAGAGCGGGTAGTTGGGTGAAAACCAATTCATTTCGATGAGACCTATCAATAGTATACCATGACGAGTAGAACGCCCCCCCCCCCCATTCCCCTAAAAAGAAGTTCAAAACCGCAGAGGAAGGCCTTATGCAAAAACAGAAACCAGCCTTAAAAATGTAGTGCTCCCCTCTACACTAAATCTATACGAACCTTCTCCTACGCTCAGGCAATGGAATTTGGATTCCATCCCTTTCCGGGTCGATCCGAAACAATTTTTTCTTCGGGGCTCAAAAAAGGCAGTGTATAACCTTCCTTATTTACCAAAGATCGACTGCACCAAAATTTCTCGGGAAAACACTTTTTCTTATTGATTTTGTTGCGTAGAATCCAAAACAATTCGTACTTTTTCGATCGGACTTCTCAATCAAAAGTTATGGACTAGACAATTTCGAAAAAAAATTCAAAGGGCTGTAACTTTTGAACTAGTAGCCCAATCTTGGAACTGTTTGAAATTATGGATTCTACGGGCCACATTCTAAAAAATTTTTTTCCGGGTCGATCTGAGACAATTTTTTTTTCGGGCTCAAAAAAAGGCAGTGTATAACCTTCCTTTTTTACCAAAAATCGACTGCACCAAAATTTCTCGGGAAAACACTTTTTCTTATTAATTTTGGTGCGTAGAATCCAAAACAATTCGTACTTTTTCGATCAGACTTCTCAATCAAAAGTTATGGACTAGAAACCAATTTCGAAAAAAAAATTCAAAGGGCTGTAACTTTTGAACTAGTAGCCCAATCTTGGAACTGTTTGAAATTATGGATTCTACAGGCCACATTCTATAAGAAAATTTTTTTCCGGGTCGATCTGAGACAATTTTTTTTCGGGGCCTCAAAAAAAGGCAGTGTATAACCTTCCTTTTTTACCAAAAATCGACTGCACCAAAATTTCTCGGGAAAACACTTTTTCTTATTAATTTTGGTCCGTAGAATCCAAAACAATTCGTACTTTTTCGATTAGACTTCTCAATCAAAAGTTATGGACTAGAACCCAATTTCGAAAGAAAATTCAAAGGGCTGTAACTTTTGAACTAGTAGCCTCTAGGACTCATTGGACGCGGCCCTTACGACAATTACAGAGAAGAGAATATTGAATCGATACCGCCCTTAGAAAAACGTTTTAATGTCCTTTTCCCTACAAGACTCTCGAATACTGGGGGGTACACCATCGCCTCCAGACCCTCGGGTTCCACATTCTTCCCCAAAACAATAGTATTATCTATACATAGAATATAAACCATATAAAAGTATTCTATACCTCCCAAGCCCCCCGGTTATACATTCTTCCCCAATATGTATAGAACACAGATAATAGACCATAATTTTTTGAAATGGGCCATCAAAACTAACACCAGGAGCTCTTCGAGTACGGAATACTCGTCAGGAAAGGAATATTTCTATAGTCTCTTATACAAAACTACCACAACAGCCCTTAGGGCTAAATATTGCGTGGGAGACGGTAGCACCAGGGAATCTGGGGGGTATGGAATACCCCCTAGTATTTTACGAAGACGTTATGACAGATATCAAGAGAACATTTTCGTACACTGGGTGGCATTCCCTGCCCCCCAGGGGTAGTCGATTTTCGGTGAAAACAAAGGCTATACACTTCCCAATATTTTGGGTCGGAAAAATGAATTGTCTGAAATCGACCAGGAAAAAACATTTTCTGATAGATTTTGGCCTCTAGAATCCATAACTGCCAACAGTTTGAAGATTGAGCCACTAAATCAAAAGTTACAGCTTAAGTTAAAGGCACTTTCCGTGACAACAGCCAAGGATACTGTTTCGATTACCTTTAGTTTATTTGACACCTATACCTTCCTTCGACGACTTCTTCAGCTTGGTTTACGTCTACGTAGCTTCCTTTACTTCCAGGACCAAATCATCGATTCTTTATTGAATTATTCCACCAACTTCTTGTTTTTATCCCGCCTGACTTACCCCGTCACTCGGCTTTTGGACTTCTACACACTTATCACCTTTAGAACCTTCCTCAATTTCAATGATCTTCAGGGTACATCTTTCATATTTTAGCTACTTCTGAACTTCCTATTTCGATGCAACGTAAAATAAATTGGTCAATTCTTTAGATGTCAACAGAACAAATGCCATCTTTGTCTCACTATTAGATAGATAAATTGCGCTTTAACCTTTATCTCTCTTTAAATGTCCTTCTATTTGTCTTACTTTCCGAATGGCATTTGATGGAAATTTTGAACTGACCCACTTCATTATTCATCGCTGGCGATGCACATCATTAGCCTTACGATGACGTATGTACGAGCAGGAAAGTAAGTAAATACTCACCCCTATCCCGTTGGTGGTATTAACGTTGTCAAAAGACGGCAGGTGGTTCGATTGTTAGCGATGTCATGTTAATAATTAACATCCCCTAAATTGTTAACTTTAAGAACCGGATTTCCCCCTTCTTGTTCGCGCGCTGCTTCGACCCACATTGTACCCTCTCGAAAGGATGGTCGATATTGCGTTTTACATTTGCGCAAATTGTAAATTATTGCCAAACTGAGAAGCGCTAAACCGTGATTTACTGCCGAAATGGAATCACTAGACAATCGTGCACTTTTGGGAGTAGCACGAACGCCGGCACCTTCGTTGAATTCAATCACGTTGTTAATTAAAGGGAACATACGCCAGGTGTTGTTTCCAGCAATTGGATTTCGTAACAATGGGGTTAATCGGCGAAGCTGAGCTATGTATAAGTTTACAAGAGTCCCTTACCAACACTCAAACTAGCTGTCTATTAGTGGATCACCCTGTATTTACACGAAGTGCTTCACCATAAAGTCACATGTCATTGTTCATCCTTAGTGTTTCGGGAACAAAAAAAATAGTCATGAGTGCTAGGTCTGAACTATAAAGGGGATGTTCAATTTCTTAGAAGCCATAATGAGCTACAGCAGCTTTTGAAAGTCGTGGAGCACCAAGGCATATTTTGAGCATCCTTTTACCATTATCAGTGAAAAGCTCGTACTTCAGCTCTCTTTTTCTCTTTTAATAACCCTAAAATCTGGTCGTGGAACTCCACAAACGCTGAAGATCAATGTTCTTGAACGCACCGACAAACAAACCGGCATGTTGAATACGACGACAAAATTAGATTTAGTTTATTATCACAATTTCTTATCGCAAATGACCAGATTGTTCTTACATTTTAACATGCAATTTCACATTTTACAATTAAATAAACAATACACTATTAAAACAAATCTAATAGAAAAAATAACACTATAGAACTGCAAACCCAAATGAAATAAATCAATTCTGTGCTTACTCATAAATAATCCTCATTATTTTCAGTG